TTATTTCTAATTCATTGTTACAAATATTAAAGTTGTGTTCAAAACAATGAATCAGACATTACTTTATCTAAAGTTAAGTTTTTTTTGTGAAGAAAGCTCTAAAACGCGTTTTTTTGTTGACTATATTTATTTGTGATAAATATGTTTAATGAATGTATATTTTCTTATTAAATTTAATTGCATTAATTCAATTTTGTTAATAAACTGATAATAATTTATTAATTATAAAATAATTCAAATTCATATTAATACTATATAAATATGCCAATTATTTTAAATGACTGAAAATTATACTTGGTGAAGTTTGACAAACTAACAATTGGTTAGAAAGTGATGCTTAATATAAGAAATCCTACCCAAGAGTATAATAAACTTTCCCAATATATACACACATTATGTCAACCAAAATATTGAGTGTTTCTTATTTATAAATCGCATACATGTGTACACAGAATATTCTGTAAATTTTCAAAATAGAGTATAATTAATTGATTATAATTTTATTAAATTGTGAGAATCCATACGTAAGTAAATCAATGACTGATTATAATTATAATGACATTTATATTGACATAATTTTAATAAAAGATATATTGGTATCTTTTATTATAGTAAACGACACAACGATGAGAGTAGACATGGTCAATTATATAATATAAAGCACAATAGCCTAAAATTATTGTTATCAGACTTAATATTTATAAGATAATAATAATAAGTGGTTGTATTTTTGTGTATAATCTTCACAGTGTGTTATGTGTAACATATAATATATTGCATCAATTAATTTGCAAAACCAGTGATCGATGATAACCAGGCAGTGATCCAACGCTATCTAATCGGACGAAATAAGCATTTATAACAAATCCCAATTAAATATGCTTTTAATTTTGTAAGTGTTATTAAAATATTTGTTCATTTAAATTTTAGTGTTTATTTTTTAAATAACATTATGATGTATGTAAAGAACAGTTATATATTTATATTTCTGTTCATGTATTTATGTTAAAATCAATATTCGATATTAAAGTAAACGACGAGACGATGAAAGTCAACAAGATCAATTATATAATACGCGACCGAATAGCCTAAAAGCCCTGTTAGGAGAGCCGCAGGTCCATGATGCTTTTGGGTGCAACAGATTTTACCGTATGTTTGGTTAATTTATATTTTTAATTATATTATTTATTAAATATTTGTTATTTCTACAAAAATAACGGGAATATATGATACATATGTATACTCTTAGAGAATAAAAATATTAATTTTGATTAATTTTTATTTATTATAAATAGAGATCTCAATTGTTGTGGCAATACTACTGTTGATATCGTTTTATTTCATACCATTCCCCATAAATCTTATATTATTCATCGCATCGTTGTTTATATTCCTCACAATTTCTTATATAATATACATTAAGTCACGAAAACTGCCAGCGATGACAACCAGGCAGTGGTCTAACGCTATCTACTCGCCCACAACCCAAACACCCGGTGACCTAACACTGGTTGACGTGCCCTTAGAACCCATCACTATATCTCCCGACGATTCCGAACATCATTTGG